AGAAGCCTGCTGTGGGGGCGTGAGGGTCCCTGGGGCATCCTGAGGAGCAAGCGGGCGGGAGGGGCCCGCGGGGAGCCCCGCTCCTCGGTGTCAGCTGTCCGCTGCGGCTGTGGCTGGGAGTTGAGGCTGGGATGAGTGACGCTGCCCCCGACAGCTGACTGGGCGGAGGCCAGGCGTGGGAGGCCAGGCCCTGGTGCCTCTGGGCAGGTGCCGTGGCCTCTGCGCGGGGCTGGAGGGAGGCCGAGCTGGGGGCGGGGCCGGTGACCCCGCGGCGGAGGGATTGGGAAATGCAGATCAGGCGTCCACCGCACTCCCCCCACCCTGCGGGTCTGCGGGTGCCGAGAGGGAGGGGTTGGGGCCAGGGGTGTCCCCTGCAGCGGCTGCAGCAGGACCGGGCAGACCCGCACGGCCCGCCGCCAAGGGCAGCATGGACCGTCCCTCCTCCTCCCGCCCGCCCGCACCTCAGGTTGGTGCAGGGCCCGGTGCAGGCCCGTGAACCTCCGCCGAGCATCCGGCCCTGCGGCCAGGCCCTGTCCGCCCGACTGGGCGGTGCTGAGTCAGCACCCACGTCCCTCCCCAGGCCTTCAGCAGGCCCGCCCAGCCCACTGCCCCAGCCTGCGTGTTCCTGAGTGGACTGTGCTGGCTGCCCAGCCCCTGCAGCCAGGGGCTCGGTGCAGTGGACAGTCTGCCCCCCCACAGCTGCCCAGAGCCCTGTGGACACCGCCCTGCTGCCGCGTCGGGGCTAGTGCTGGTGCCCACCCCCCGGGCCAAGGACACTGCCCAGCCCCTTGCCGCGTCCTTGAAGCTGCGGGCCTCCAGGGCCCCGGGTGGTCAGCTCCTCAGGAGGCCGGTGACTGTATTTTGGGACGTGCCACGTTCTCTAATTCCCTGCTGTGCCTGAGATCCGGCTGCCCACCGTCCTGTGTGCCCGCTGGCGATGAGTGCCCACAGAGCCCTGGCTGCTGGGGCTGGCCGCAGGGCCGTGCAGAGCCGTAGCCTAGCAGGAGGGCACCCTGGGCCCAGCCCTGGCCTCTGGGCGGCCCCAGGGCCCCTCTCTTCTCCGGCCACGCCCTCCGTGTGGGGCGCAGGGCCCGGGTCTGCTCATGGGGCGGGGGCTCTGGGGGAGCCAATGAACCTTATCAGCAGGCCGACGGGCCCCTTTCAGCGGGAGAGGCGGGAGGGCGGCACTGCCCCGGGCGCCTGAAAAGCCTTTCAGGGTGTCCCTGGTGCGTGGGTGTGGGGGTGCAGGGAGCCTCGGCTCTTGCATGGTCCAGGGCGGGGCTCGGTGCCGGCACAGCCTCGGAGACCCGCGGTCGCCTGCCCGCTCCCAGCCGCCGTCAGGGGTCTCGGTTCCCGCGGAGCCCGAGCAGGTGGCGCCGTGCAGTGACCGCGCTGCCTGCAGATGGACACCGAAGGGGCAGGCAGCAGCGACCGGACAGGGCCGGGCCG